GAGAGAGAGAAGAATATTCAAAGGAAGTCAGCATCAGGCTGAGTTATAGGTACCACTTTATGTGCTCAGGTGCTCAGCTGCAGGGATGGGTGGAAATGGGGGCTTACTTGATATTTACTGTTGCCCAGTTGATGGTCATCTATATCCGAGGACCCCTATATCCTAGTCCTGGAGTCTCACACTGCCTCTGCCTCTTTTTTGGTATTCTTCTTGATCTGTTCCCGTAATTACTGATAGTGAAATTCCTAAGAAACAACAGTTTTCTGAACCAGAAGATAGCTTGGCCATTTCCGACACATCTTCATTTTCTGCTCCCACCCAACCTTTTCCTCAACCTTCTTCTCTTCAACCTCCATCTTTCTAACCTGTACTCTTACCAGCCTCTCTGTCCAACATTCCTAGGCTGTTTTTTAAGGGAGATAACGATTGATTCAGGTCCCCACTTTATCACTGAATCCCATTACAGATGGGCTCTGCCTGGTTTCACATCATATTGAGGATGTATGTGCATTACAAGGTCTCCAAGCCAAGGTCACATGTTGTGCCTGAGAGGCCTGAAGTCTGACTGGGCTGCTTCTGGAGACCAGATGAGTGTAGCACACAGACTTGGAGCCTGTGTCCTAAGATTGGTCTATATGCTGTCCTGAGTCCTTGAGCTTTCACCTTCAGCAGGCAGTGTGTGTTCCAGGGTGCAGGAGCTGCTTCCAGCAAGATCCTGGGGGGGTGTGTCCTGGGATTCAGATGGCCTCCTGAACCATATATGATCATCAGTTCCCTGGATGGGAACAGGTCTTGCCAGAGGTTCACCAAATCCAAACCCTCTCCTGTAATCCGACTTCTCTACAAACAGGGACATGGGGAATCCTCTCTACACCCTGCTTACTCCATTCTCCTCGTGGTCTTCTTCCTTCTCATTGCTCCCCGCCCCCCCCCCCCTCCTCCTCACAGCAGTCTTACTTGCCTGCTGCTGATCTGAGCACTCTGTGACCACCACCACTCTATGCTGGCACCTGTCCCTGCACCACCAGTCCCCAGCAAGGGTGCCAACGATTTTGTTGCACTTGGCACTTAGGAGACTGCTATCTCCCCTTACTTTATGGAACAAGGACACATGATAATGGTGATGATGAGAGCAGCTTATGTGACTGTGTGTTCATAGCTGTGTTACCTGTTTGATGTTTTAGCTCATGTGACCCTCACAATAGCCTACAGAGGAGTTTAATTTTTTTCTTTCCTTCTTGTTTTTTTGTACAGGCAGTTGTACCCAGGGATGCTTTACCTGTGAGCCGCATCCCCAACCTCCTTTTTTATTTTTTATTTCAAGACAGGGTCTTGCTAAGTTGTTGAGGGCAATTCATTGGCCTCAGCCTCCCAGATGGCTGGAACTACTGGCATGTTCCAGTACAATCAGTGAGGTAGAGTTTTACCAGCGTCATTATGTTGGTGGGAAAAGTGAGCTGCTGGGCAGGCAGAGGAACAAGTGGTCCCTCATGGCCAGGACAGATGGGTTTCCTTGAATCCCTCCACTTCTGCTCCTTTCACCAGGAAAGGCCTCTGTTTCTGTACATCCATCTGTTTTCTCAGACATCCTCTGCTGCTCAGCCACTGGTGCTGGCCGTTTGCTGGGGCATTCAGGGAGGTGGCTGGACAAGTCTCCGGTCATCACATGTGCTCGCATAAGCAAGCAGAAAGGTGGCTTGCAGGGGCACCAATTGTGGGAGCCAGTTCTGACCAAAGAAATATCTACACAGCACGTACGATTTGACATTTAGCCTCCAAGTTCAGACGTTACATGTCTTTGTTCAGTGTGGTCAGCTCATGTGTGAGGTTGTCAGCTACTTCTGTAAGAACACTTTGTTCTCTGGCACACTGCACCCCTCCTTCCCATCCATGGCTGCCACCAGCTGGCTGATACTGCAAAGCCACCATCTGAGCTCTCACTGATTGCAAGTCTGACTGAACATTAAACTGTACTTGAGAAACTATCTTTTGTTTTTTTTAAGAGAAAAAGTCAAACATATATTAAAAAAAAAAAAAAAAAGAAAAAGAGAGAAGGGCTTGGAGCGTAGCTCAGTAGTAGAAGTGGTAGAGTGCGTCTCTAGCATGCACAAGCTCCTGCGTTCTATGCCCAGTACCAGAACAAAGGAACAACAAAATATTAGCAACAACAACAACAAAAATCCCCCACTGCCATACCATTATGACTCTAAAAATGTTAATAATACTTCTGTTATCATAAATTATCATGTTGAAATTTCCTTGCTTGTCCAATTTTTAAATAAAAAATTGTATTTGAATCATAATAACTATTTTACATGTATGTTATGGCTCAATCTGTAGGTTTCTCTTCCTTCTTTTATCTTCCTTGCAATTTATTTGTTGAAAAAACCTCATGTTCTTGTCCTTAGGGCTTTTTCTGTTTTTGAGTTTGCTGATTGCATCCCACAGTGTCATTGAACATGTTCCTCTACTCCTTGTTTTTCTTACGAACTAGTATTTGTTAGAAATTTTATTAATTTGTTTGGAGACAGTCTTGCTTTGTTGCTCAGGCCACCCTGTGAATTATGGGCCGCTGATATGACACTGGCCAAACCTTATACTGTTCCTTCTCTGTTGACTGCCCCCAACCCCCATTCCCAGCACCAACTGTCCCCTTAACTGCTGAGATAGACATTCCACTGGTAACAGCCAGCACTTTACTGCCAAGGCTCACACAGCCAGAGTGATCTTTTTGGCATCTTCATCAGATTTCTTCACTACCCTGTTCTAATGTATCCTATAACTTCCCCCTTCCCCCTTGACATCTAAAACAAGATCCATACTCCTCAGTATTGCTGATGTGGCCCCCTGGGGTCTCACTCTCACGTACTTCTCCAACTATATTTTTCCTTCCTGGTCACATTAGCCTTTCTCCTGCTTCTTAAGTAGCTCAGTCTCATTTCTACCTCAGGGTCTTTTCCTGTGCTCTTTGGTCTAGGAATGCTGAATGCTCTCTCTTCAGTCCTCATATCAGTCTCTTGCTTCCTTCCTTGATGAAATGCCCTCACTTTGAAGGGTCCTTCTGTGACTTTTTTGTATAATGTAGTATTCCTCATCACTCTATGCTTTCGTTTTCCTTTATCGTAATTTTAATTAATTGAATTTAAATTTTTTTTTTTTTTAGTGTTGGGGATGAAATGCAGGACTCTGCCCACACTAGGAAAGCACTCTATCACTGAGCTACAACGAAGTCTCTGAAATTGTCTCTCATTCTTTGTTGGTGTGGGTCTCGATGAGAGAGACTTGGATCATCTCACTCAGTAATATGTTCCAAGCAGCTAGCACAGTGCCTGCGATGTAACAGGTTCTCAATAAACACTTGTTGAATAATGGAATAGCCAGATGGGTGGATGTAGATGGACCTGTATCTTCTCATTCCTGCACCTCCCACACGCACATACACCACATACACACAGAAGCACTCATCGGGGGTTTTTTTTTTTTTTTTTTTGGCTCTGGGAATGGAACCCCATTAGCCTCATGCATGCTACAGCACGTGCTCTACCACAGAGCTACATCCTCAGCCCAAGGCTCTCATTTCTTGATGAACTGACCTGGGTCCTGATCCAGTTCACCTAGGCATCATTGCAGATGTTACCAGTTGGAAACTGTACCCGAGAGTCCCTTGTGAAGGCAGAAGGCCTTAGAAGACCAAGTCCTCCATGTAGGAACATACTTAAAGGGGATATTATGGTTTGAAGCTTGACCTTGAACAAGCTGAATTTCAAGTCAAACACTGTTACAGAAAAATTTATTGAGGAGTAGGGGGGTGTCTTGAGGCCATAATGGCTTGGGATAAAGGAGCATGTGAGGCTCAGAGTGGTGCTACTGCCTTTCCCCAACCCTTCCTGTTCCAGGTAGCTACTGTGCCTGCTGAGAGCACAGGCAGGAGGCTCCCTGGGTAAATACTGCTTCTAGTTTCCGAAGCCTACCTGATGGTTTGTGCTGATGTTTCTGGCAATAAGTCAGGGCTGGACCTATTTGGTGTATAGGGCACCAGTGGGCCACTATGCCCCCCCCCTACACTTGACTCCTCCTCCCCTTGGAGAGTGTGGAGTGTTCTCTCTTCTGCCCAAGGAGAGACTTCAGAGGATTGAGCCGAGAAATGGCAGGTCTTCTTCAAGGTCAGCTTCAGCCCTGGCATGTTCAAAGGAGCCTCTCCTTTCAAAACCCATGTTCTGAGGTTTCTTGCCTGTGGCCAGTTGACATGGAAGGGGACCCCTGGCTGTGAAAGGCTCATGCAGATTGACTGAGGTACTGTCTCCAGTAGGGGCAGTGGAGATCACTTCAGAAGATGCATTAGCTGAACATATGTAGCGAAGGCTACCTAATTTGTATTATTCATATTGATATAGTTAATCTTTATAAGGGAAAATAGATTTGAATAACCATACCATGACAAAAGGTATTATAGATGCTGGAGTGAGGCCTGCCAGGCTCCAGTGTGCTCTGCTATATGCAGGGTCTTCAAGGCTTGTGTATGACGTCCTGGAGGCATTCCACCTGGTATTTCCCTCCTTTCAAGGATTAAATATAAAGCATCATATGGTGTCAACCAACTAGCAGTCTTGAGCTAATGGATGAAGAAAAGCCCTTTAGAATGAGAAGACTGTTTTCAAAGAAGTCAGCGTGATAGCCATTGAAAAGAAGGAGTATAAAGAAAGGATGGCTTTTAAATACTGCTAAGTCTCTGCCAAGCTGTGAAGACACCAGTTTAAGCTGCTGTAGTTCCTCATGACAAGCTAAACCACGGCCCTAGCTGTGACACCATTGAAAATCATTTCAAATCTTCTGCAGTCCATATCTTAAATTTTTGTGTATTGGAATAACTTTATATATAACACAACAGCAACGATAAAATTTTTATTTCTCTAAAAACCAGGAATTTTATTTTAAAAATGAAAAAGAAGTTTCATTAGCTGACCTGGGTATTGAAATATTTGTCCTCTCTACAGAGAGGCTCAGCCTGCAAGCCTTTGTGGGAATGGTCTCTTGCCAGTGTGCTTAAAGCCATGAATTTGGGGGCTAGGGAAACACAGAGCCTTTTCCGCCTCTGCTGGAGCACAGTGTTTCTTTGGAGCCCCTTTGGCTCTCTGCTTTGGCTTCTTTTTGGCTTCTCTGCTGGCCTCTATGCTTTGGCCTTTGGTGGAATGGCCAAGGGAGCATCTCCATAGAGCTAGCTGGTAACCATCAACCAGGCAATATGCCTCCCCATGCCAGCCTACTTGGGTTTCTCCACATCCTTGGTAGAGGACATGGTAGTATGCAGGTGTAGAAGGAGACATGGGAGGCACTGCTGCTGGAAAGAAAACCAGAACTGATTAATTGCCTCTGCTTTGTACAGTCTGCCACCAGGACCTCGCTCTCCTGTTGCTTCCTGTTTCTGACTGAAGCCCTCTTCTCTGCTTGGCATTCAAACACAGAGCCTTTGCCTGTGACCTCTATGGATGCTTTGCCTGTCTCCTCAAGGGATGCTGCCAAAGTACTTGAGTTCTGTGGAGCCAACGGAAGCAGCAGAACAGGGTTTCTCTTCCCTAGTCCGAGAGAGAACAGTGAAACCTCAAAATTACCACAAGCAGCACCCTCACAGTTTCTCCCTTCTACAACTGACAAAAATTTCTTAAAGTCTGTCATTTCTGAGGCTTAATGAAAATTATTTTCAAGGTTTGGAAAAATGGTCTAATATAAATTGGTTTAGAACCCCTCCCACCTTGGCAGTTCCTTTTGGGGCCCCATCATACAGCTTGTTTCAATCACACTGAATTTTACCCCAGTTTTTGTAGATTTTTCTAATACCTTTTTTGTTTTGTTAAGATGGTGTTTTGCTGTATTTCCTCAGATAGGCCTGGAACTCTTAAGCTTAAGTGATCCTCCTGTCTCAGCCTCCTGAGTAGCTGGGACTATAATTGTCACCTGTGCCCAAGTCTACCATTTTCTGAAGGCCATATACTCAGACAGAGGGATTAAGAGAATGAGATCCAAATTCTGGGTACCAAGTTTAGGTCCAGTAGCCTTCTCACATCCACTTCCTGAGACATCATTTCCTCAGACCTCCAGATTTGGTAACACTGAGACTGGCCCTTCTGTTCTTCCCAACTGCATGACACCACCCTTTTCCTCAGCAGTTCAGACTGGGATGTACATGTGAGTGTATCTATGACAGTATGATAAAGGTGCCTAGGTGTGAAGGTGAGATTCCATGAGAGGCCAATAGCTGTCTCTTATCACTTGAAAACAAAAGCACATTAGGTTCCTGTAGGACTCTTATTGAAAAGGATCTGATAAAGAAGCCCCCTTTCGTTATGGTGATGAGTGCTCTCACCCTGTTTCCCAGGTTTCATTCACTATGTTCCCTACCAACATCCTTGAGCCCAACTCCTGGGTTTTTCACCTCTCAGCTACCCAAGCAGCTGGGACTATAGGTGTGTACCAGTGTGCTGTGCTCTGAAGGAAGCATTGGGGGAGTCTAAAGGGGAAGGCTAGATTGATAAAGATTAGCACCTTTCTGAACACTTGCCCTCAGCAGGGAGCAGAAACACTGTGGGTCCTTGTAGGAGCACCAGACCATTGGTCTTACTCATAGCTAGGGAAGTTCTGAGGTGTGATGGGGAAACCCAAAAGTAATGTGTGGCAGTCCAGTGAGATTGTGTGTTTACTAAGGGCTCCATTACAGATGCCTGGTCTAGGCCTACCTGCTGCACTGCTCTCCCAGGAAATAGAGGATAAGTTAGGCTGAATATAGAATATCTGGTCAGACATTCTTTCTCGATCAACCAGACACTCTGGTGTCTTGTAGAGAACTGGTAGAGAAGATTCCTAGCGTTAACCTGCCATGGAGACTGAGGCTGTGATGTCATCACTACTCAGGTCACAGAAGGAATGTGTGACTTGAGGGGTAGGTGACGATTCTTGGTATGTTATAGAAAGCCGAGTGAAAGGAGAGAGCTCTGCTTGGGCACCCCTCTGGCCTCTCCCCCCATAGTCAGATAGCCACTCTCTGTGGAGCACAGCCCAGATCACAGAGGGGCAAGCAAAACCCAGATTCTGAAACTGGCCTGACAGTCATGATTAACATAGACAGCTAGGTTGCATGACCCTGATACTAAGTATTTTCCTGTTGGAGAGGCAGAGATTTGAGTGGATTAGGGGGTCAGGGAATGCTCCTTGGATGTGAGCCTGAACATAAGTTAAAAGATTTAGGTTGGGTGCGGTAACCCATTCCTGTAATTCCAATGGCTTGGGAGGCTGAGGCAGGAGATTTTTTAATTCAAAGCCAGTCTCATCAATTTAGGAAGTCCCTGAGCAACTCAGTGAGACCCTGCCTCTAAATAAAATAGGAAGAAAGTGCTGGGGATGTGCCACACTTGGTTGATGCCTCTGAGATCAATCCCCAGTATCGGGGAAAAAAAAAAGAAAGAAAATGTGGACATGTGGAAAAACATTCACATTGGGGAAAAAAAGCAAAGACCGGGTCCTTTTAATCTCATTCTGCTCCAAAGATTTATCCTTTGATGCATTGGAGAGTGTGGCCGGCTGTTCCTTTGATCCTGAGCAATACACACATCTTTCTGAACACACACACAGAGAAATGCACCCATAACCTTCTTACAAGTGAGATCTCAAAAAAGAGGCTAAGGGGCCTACACAAGGTCACACAGGTAGTACAGAGGTGTTCTGCTCAACAGTAGGGTTGTTCATGTTGAGGTTCCAGATTTATAGCTGATAGGACAAACTTGTCACATTTCAGTGTGATGGACACAGCGGAGGTTGTTATAGGTGCTCCAAGGCAACAGGAGACGTCTCCAGTGACTTTACAAAGTAGGAATGATAGATCTATTTTAACATAAAATTTGATATGTGATTATGACAAAATTACCGTATTATCATTTTAGTCTCCTTTCTTTAAAAAAAGCAAACAACCCATGTGATCATGTAGCCCTGTAATCCCAGCAACTCAGGAGGCTTAAGCAGGAGGACCACAAGTTTGAGGTCAGCCTCAACGATTTAGTGAGACTTTTTCAAAATAAAAAAAGGTGTGCATGGTGCCAGGGCACATGCCTGTAATCTCAGCAGCTCCAGAGGCTGAAGCAGGAGAATTATAAGTTCATAGCCAGCCTCAGGAAAAGTGAGGCTCAGTGCAACTCATTGAGACCCTGTCTCTAAATAAAATAGAAAATAGGGCTGGGGATATTCTGTTTGATGGACATTTATGTCTGTGTATATTCCTTTGATATGAATTAAAAGTCTTAAGAGAAAAACATTATTTTCTTCTTTCTGTGTTATGTGAAAGACTATGCGACTATGGTCCCACTGCTCCAATGATAGCCAATAGCTCATCTTTCAAAGCCACAAGCAGTTCAACAGGCCCTGAGAGGCATTAAGGGCAGCCTAGCTGACATATTACAGATCTGTATAACCTAGAAAATGAAAATCCTTCATAATCTCACACTTAAAAAAGTTAATCAGGGGCTGGGGTTATGCCTCAGTGGTAGAGCACTTGCCTAGCATGTGTGAGGCACTGGGTTCAATCCTCAGCACCATATAAAAATAAATAAAGATAGTTTCCATATATAACTATTTAAATAATTTTTTTTTTTTTAAAAAAAGTTAAGCTGGATGCAGTGGCGTATCCCTGTAATTTAGGATTATGAGGCAGGACGATTGCAAGCTTGAGGCCAGCCTCAGCAACTCAGCAATACCTTCTCTCAGAATAAAAAGGGCTGGGGATGTAGCTCCATGGTAAATTTCTCCTGGGTAAAATCCCTAGTACTGTCCCCTAAAACTAAGCATAATGGGGAATAATATGGATTTTCCTACACATATCTTATGAATAATGTATAATATATAAATATGTGACCTGTTTATATCTGTACCTCCCTCCCATGGAATCCTGTCATACATATTGTTTTGCCATTTACCTTTCTACTAGGACATTTTTGCAAGTCAGATACATTAGAATTGGTTTCTCTAATGCCTTTACTGGGGTGTCAGTATTTTGCTGTTATCAGTAAACTTCATTATAGGTACATCCAAGTTTTCATGGTTCTCTCACAGTTCTTTCTGCCAGGGTTGAGCTGTCGCTGTGAGAGATCACCGATTACTTCTCCCAACATGTCTTTTTAGGCATCTAATCTGTTCAGTGCTCCGATGATAATTACATATTCCCTTTATAGAAATGCTTTACATGCTTTAAAGGTCTTAGTTCTCAAAACAGCCTTCAATATAGGTTTATTTTCTCATTTACCACATTGTCTCTTTTTATTATAGTAGTCATTTTTGAAAGTTAATGTGGTAGTGTTATGGCGAGATTGCAATAGATCACTGAGTTGATCTTAAAGCAGGAGATGGAACCATCTTTTTTAAAATTTTTTTTTACTTGTAGTTGAGCACAATATCTTTATTTTGTTTATTTATTTTTATGTGGTGCTGAGGATCGAACACAGGGCCTCACACATGCTAGGCGAGTGCTCTACCGCTGAGCTACAACCCCAGCCCCAGAACCATCTTTATTCACCACTGGGTGGTCCAGATCCACCAGCTGGTGGGCCAAGGAGTGGGCTGCAAGTCTACCCTTTGTACCTCTCTCGGGGTTTGAGTTCACCTTTTAGAGTCCAAAACCATATTAATTATAAGTGGCTGTTGCTATGATTCAAAACCATAAACAAACGTCATTAGATTTAAAATCAGAAGCAGAAGTGGGGGAATGGATCAAAATGACCTTAGGTGACTACAAGTTAAAGAATGGTTACTAAGGTCTAGACAATCAATCTCTGACAGGGTACATTGTCCGAGAAAAATGGGAACCAAAGAGAGAACAATTTTACATTGTATATGAATTGCCATTTTGTGTTGCCAAGTATGCTATGCTAAGCAACTGTTGATGGGGACAGAGGCAGGGATTTCCCATGGAAGAAGCATTTTTTAATGTGACATGGAGTCTCAGAGTAAAATGGAGTCTGTTTAGTCATTGCCCATATAGCCTGGCCCACAATAGCTATTGTAGAGCTTCATTAATAAGGAGAGATGAGATATAGTTGATTTTTGTTAATGTTCAATTAAGTTGCTGAGAACACTAAAATCACTACTGAACCAAGTGACCCTTGGGGATATACAAGATTAGAAATTTGCTAGCCTCTGGTCACATTTTCATCAACTGATCACCACTTAAACTCATTTTATGTGGGTTTCTATTCAGAGACTATTTGTTTAGTAGAAGCTAGGGATCAAACCCAGTGCCTTGTGCATGCTAAGCATGTACTCTACCACAGAGCCAAACTGGCAGCTCCACCCAATATACCATTGATGAACTCAAGAGCCAATAGCACTGTATTGTCATGCTTAACCAAGGCTTATCTAACACAAGATTTTTATGCTTAAGAGTACTAGACAGAACTTCAGCACTATGCTTGGGCCCATTTTAAACAGTGAGATCACTAACAAAAAGCACAAAAATACAAAAAATGAAGGGCAAAATATGCCATAAAGGGCACATTTTTACAGTATGAAAGCTAAAACAAGAAGACAAGTGACACCGTGTTTGAACTCAGCTGGAGATGTGTATGAAAGGTGACTCCAATTTGTTGTCTTAGCATCTGTCCCTGAATGACTAGAAACACCACATGTATTGATTTAGGGTTATAAATCAATTTTACTGAATAGATACATTTAAAAATATGTAACTGCAAATAATAGTGAAGATTGACTGATCCACTCCAGTTTTCTGACTCACTCTAAGTAATGAAGAAATGATCACTTGCCTGTCATGTGTAACTAATTAGAACAAATTAAAAATTTCTTTTCAAATGAAATGATCACTTGCTGCACCTCAAAGGATAACCTTCCAGGAAAGTTTGGACCAGTATTGAAACACAAAGTTCAATGTATGTACCTTCTTTCCAGTATTTCAAAAAATTATAAAGTGCTAGTAATCATGCAGAAAAAGTGCATAAAACCCAAACATGCAGTTTAACAAATAATTATAAAGTGAATCACCCATTACCTGTGTCGTGAGATGGACCATCATCAGCACCTTAGATGTCTCCCAGTGCATACTTATTTTGTAGGAATCATCTATGATCCCTTTTTTCGTTTTAAGGTTATACTTGGCTGTGTTCACTGCCAGGGCTTAGGCTAGTCTGAACTTGCATCCCATGTGTTTGTGTTTTCTTGTAGAGGTGCTTAGAACAGTGGATTTTGTAGCCCCTGATGACCAAGTCATCTTCCGCACCTGTGAAAGAGAACAGAGCAGGGTGGTCTTCCAGATGTTGATGAGATCCTAATGTCAAGTGTCCTCCTAAGTCTTCCTGTCTCCTGGATTTCATTACTTGGGTCCTGTGCTATTGATCACTATTGAGTGCCTAAGCTACTTTGCACAGCAGGGACTTCCTGAAGACTTGATCATTTTTCAGAGGGTCATTCCTAAATGCTTACAGTATTAGAGACAGATTATGGAAATCAAGCTGTCACAGTCTGTTACATGCCTGCAAGTCTCAGATTTAATTTATTTAATTATAGGAATCTTTTGTTTTGGCAGCATGATATTTATTTTCATTGATTATTCATGTCATGGTGTTTGATTTTGTGTCGTCTGTATTTATTTCCTATCAAATGGATTAGATTTCTTCAAGAGCAATTAAATTTGGGTTTTTTTTGGTAGCAGGAATTGAACTCAAGGACATTAAACCCCTTTTGAGACAGAGTCTTACTAAGTTGCTTTGAGCTTCGTTAAATTGCTGAGGCTGGTTTCAAAGTTGTGATCT